CGAGCGCTTTGGCCATCCTAACCATTTGCTCCCCATACAAATGCAAATCCTCACTAGGTGAAACAGGGGTTGGATCTCCCACAGTATTACCTGGTGATGGGTCGGACACAGTCTCCAAACTGCAGCAAGAAGCTACTGACACCTGAGGGGTTTGTGAAATGGAGAATGGAATGAAGGCGGGGTAGTATCCCATGAGTTGAGTGCTATCCTAATTCTGTCTAGTATAAAATGGAAGAGGTTGATGGGATTCCCATCTCTTGAGGTAGGTAGATGACATGTAGTACTGAGGTGGTTCCACCTGTTGCCAAGCCAACGGTGGGACTGGTTTCAGTCTCAAAAACTGGCCAGCCGGGATACTTGAATGATCATCCACCAAGTTGACAAGAGATCTTGGTGGGGAATCAAAACACAGCAACAGAGTGCATGGGAGTCACCAAGATGATGTCTTCATCTGCAGTCTTTTTCGAAGGCAGATGATGTCCGCTATGCTTGGCTGCCGAGTCCGCCTTTTCCTTATGTTTCTTCGCTGGAGGCTCCGAATGTGAGCAGGCAGGAGCTGATGCAGTCAGCGAAAGGGACTGGGGCCAGATGGGTTCAGAAGCTGAACTACCAAAGAGGGTCTCTTAGGAATGGCTGACGTATTTTTAGCTGTCGGAGCCAATGGAACCGAATGGACCAAGGGCGGTCTGGAACGGGGCTCGGGTATTGGGTCAGAAGTCAGGCAAACCAAGCTGGACAGATCTGAGTTCAGGATGGATTTAGAAGCTGGAGTGGACAAGGCTTTTTCCCCAAAGTGCGGTCTTGAGCCGTGATTCTCTATCTGATTGAGCTTTAGGGGTAAAATGCTGGCGGATTTGGCAGGTGCTGACATTGTAGGACTCATGCAAGCATAACAGGCAAAACTCATATTCATCACTATGCATCATTTTTGTTCCACATTTGGAACATTTTTTGAACAACACCTTGGTCACCATAATTTCGGCACCACAAGCAGTCTTCCAAAGAGAAAACAGTTCAGCCTCATCCCATCAAGAAGATCCCAGAAGAGACAAAAACTGGAAACAATGCAAGTTGAGAGAGCATGCCAGAAGAGCTTCCTAACTCCGCGGCAGCAAAAACAGAACTGAGGGGAAAGGGGCTCCTGCCATCGGAACACCCATGTGCCAGCCCTAGCAATAGCGGGGCATCTCCTTTGGAGATTTTAAGCTAGAAAAAATGCCTTGTGGCCAGCCTGCGCAGTCTTACTGTGGGGCTGCACTGAAGACTGAAGATGAACATTTAGGTCTTTTTCAGCATGAAGAAAGAAAAACATTCTAAGAGCAAACTGGAGCTTGAAAAGATCCTCATTTACGAGACAAAGAATTACATTGTGGAGATAAGAGCAGTGTTCCCTCTTAGCTGAGTTAGTGTGAGCTAGCTCACAGTTTTTTACCCTCCAGCTCACATATTTTTGTCTTGGCTCAGGAAGGATGGCTCCGGTCCAGAGCAAACTAATTTATGTAGTAGCCAAATCACCTGCCTGCTCACAGCTTTAATGCTGGTAGCTCACCAAGTAGAATTTTTGCTCACAGGACTCCACAGCTTAGAAGGAGCATTGGATAAGAGCTGTAATTATTTTTTTTCTGAAGGGAGCTTCTACCACAGGTATTTCTGTTCAGATACTTCAGATAACAGTTTTATTAGGATCACAAAGAATCAAAGTCCTTCCTGACACCTCCCCCAAGAGAGGGAAAGACAAGGTCAAAGCATTTTAATAATATATACCATGGGGTCATTTCGTAGAAAAAGAGCTAGGGGAACTCATTAGCATAACTCATTAGCATATGCCACACCCCCTGACATCAGGGGACCGGCGGTGGACCTGCAAGGTCAGCGGGAGTGCAAGGAAGCCCCGCAAAGGCCCTCCCTGGCCCCAGGCAGGCAGGGGTGGGGAGAGGCGGGGGGGGAGCAACTTACCCTCCCTCTTCTCCTGCCTCCTCCTGGCTGAATGAGGGCTGGAAGCAGGGCGGCCAAAAGCAGGTGGCGGGGCTTCGTCATGTGCCCCACCCCCCTGCACCTCACCCGGGGGAAATGCGTTCCCCCGCCTTCCCCCCCCGAAATGACCTCTGTATATACCCCTTGATAAAGTAAACCAATCTGGGCCATATTATAAAGACTGTGGCAAATAAATGTATAAACAAGGTCACTGTAGCATTTGACTATTTTTGGTTCCCCCAAATTCATGTGCAAGCCATCAGAACGGACACCAAAGGTACTGAATGAAAATCCAGTTCTTGACACGAATCTACAGAGTGTGGCTTGATGCAGTGACACTTCCTACATTACTTTCTTAAGTGGCGCACCATTGTAAGTTCCAGTGCATCCCACTGACACACAATTTCCCCTTAATTTCAATTACATCCCAAGAAGAAAGTGCTGCTTTATTGTGTAAGAATAAGTCTTACCTTGCCCTCCCATTTCCCTAGGTGGAGAGCTGAGCCTCCGCTTCAGAAATCAGCCACTCAGCTTTTTCTTTTGTGGCTTTTGTGTGTGTGTGTTCCCAGAACTACCAAATACATTTTTTAATGCAGAGAATCGTGGCAACAGCTATCTAACTTCTCTGCAGGCAGTTTGTAGTAACTTGGTCAGCTTGGTAGGAAAGCACTCATCAGCTGAAGTAACCACTGAGGTCTGATTAGGAAAGATCCATCACCTCTCCAGGAGGATCAAAGACTTGCTTATAGTTGAAGTGGGATGGAGCTTTCAGGTGTGAAAGGTGAAACCTGAATTCCAAAACTTCTAAGCAAGCCAACAACCACTGTAAATATTTCGCCCCAAGGGCTCTGTTTCAATGAACTACTCGACAGTCATGAATTACCTACCAAGAGCAAAGTCATCTCTGCTTCTGAATATGAACTATTCACACTGCTGAAGAACTGCATTGAAAAAGAAACCACATTGTGCATCTTGATATCTGCACTGTTACACTATTTTTTCCACTCAAAGCCTTATTGTTATGAAGATTCCTCTGATGTAAGGGTTACTGCGCTATATGCCTCTGATCTCCATTATTCTAGGAACACAGCCTCTTGATAATATCCCTTTGCACGGGTACATACATTCTATCCTTTCAGAAAAGAATTATAAAAAGCATGTGATGGCTCTATTCTGCTTCTGATGATTGTCTGCAGCAAGCTGCACAGAGAAAAGGAAGGTTGTATATCCCATGTGTTTGTGTATTTGCTTTGCAGGGGGAACAATCTACATAAGGCAGCAGGCTTAATGACATGTTTTCTTCCCTGCAAAATAAAACAAGTCCATTGATTTCCGTCCTTCTGCAACACACTATACAAATGGCAACTGATGCAAATAAACAGATTAAAAACATTTCAAATTATTTCATTCTGTATCATCAGTGATCGTCAATGATACTTTGATTAGAGTAATGGCCTTTCCTGGAATGTAATGATTTACAGTCCTGTTTTCAATAGCTGAAGTAAACATTATACCACAAAATCACTCTCTGTATGTTTACCTAGACCCGCTACACACACACACACACACACAAAACAACAACAACAACAACCTCTCCACAATGCTTGAGGCAACTTCCATAAAAAAAAAATCATCATTGCTACTTGCACTTTTTCCTGCAAAGAAGGAATTCTCCACTTTTTTATCTTTGAGGAAGACTTCCTACATCTTCTGATCTGCAGCGAAAGCCACAGAAGTCCAGTGTATTGCAGAGGATTCTGGGACTTGTTCTAGGGCTGACATGATTCACATGGATTACTGATCAGGCCTCCAGTCTTACTGTGTTCTGTGTAAACAGAACACGCAACCTAGAAAACACTTTCCTATGAGCTCATATTGTGACAGAAATTCGGTAAGAGACGGCAGGTATGTTTTTCAGAAAAGACTGGGTGCCCTCACTGTTCCTCTTTGAGGAATCCCTAATTCTACCCAAACTCATTTCCTTTTCTGTATTTGTTTGAAGGAATGATCTTTTTTTGTATGTCCATTTTTAACAGCTGAGCTTGGACAAGGTCCTGTGATTGGAAGAGTAAAGTGTACCACTGAAGGAACACTGCACTGACAAGGTGAAAAAGGCCCATTTCTCAAGTTTGTACAACCTGCACCCTCTATTTTCTATCCTTCCTCCTTCTATTCCATCCCTGATCACCAAAAGCCACTATGTCATCCTGTTCTGTATAATAATGATTTCAAATGCTTATTAACTACCTTTCAATAATCAGATGTCCATAAGGCAGCTGAAAATATCTACAAGAGATGCAATGCAGCATGAAAGTATAAATATATAATGGTAAAGGTTCCCTTGCTCGAAAGCCAGTCGAATCCGACTCTAGGGTTGTGGTGCTGTGTAAATCCTGTCAATGAATAAAAGATTAAATATACAGCCATAAAGCAATCTAAGTTTAGTAAAAGGTCTAGCAAAACAGGAGCACCTTAAAGGCTGCCAAACCAGGAGGTGAATACATTCCGCAATCTTGGTGCCACGACAAAAAAGCATACTGCTGCCCAACTAAAGAGTCAAAATGGGTAGCCGTGTTAGTCTGTCTGTAGTAGTAGAAACGAGCAAGAGTCCAGAAGCACCTTAAAGAATAACAAAATTGGTGGCAAAGTATGAGCTTTTGTGAGTCATAGCTCACTTCTTCAGAAAGCAAGAGTCCACTAGCACCTTAAAGAGTAACAAAATTTGTGGCAGAGTATGAGCTTTGACTCACAAAAGCTCTTACCCTGCGACAAATTTTGTTAGTCTTTAATGGGCTACTGGACTTCTGCTCTTTTCTACAACTAAAGAGTGGTGCACAAAGACGGGCCTCATTTGCTGATCTCAACACCCAGAGAGGTTCATATGGGAGGAAGTGGATCCGTCAGATATATATCCCTAGAGTCAGAAGCATGTGCAGGAAATTATGATCAAAAAATGGGATGGGAAAAAGAGGCATAGTATCAGTTAGGAAGGGCATTTTCAGGACATATATCAGGGTACGACTCACCGATTCTGGGTCTCTCTGTTGTTCAAGAAAAGCTGAGAATTCCACCAGTCTGAGTTTAGTTGTTCCAATAGATCGACCTTGCCAAGCAGGGACTGAAGGTGTCGGAGCTGATGCAGGTTCAAACCCTGTAGTACGAACAGTTTTCTTTATGAAAAATCAGCAATTTCTTAGTTTATGAATTACTAATACACTGCATCATTAATTCCTGGATATCAACAGTGCCATAATCCCAGACTACCACTCTTACAAATGCAATTATTTAAAAATCTCTTCTCAGTATCTTGGAACTATGGTCATAACACACTCGCTATGCAATGAAAATAGTTACTGAAGGGGGGGGGGAATCCCACACCTTACTTTAGCAGCAGTGTAAAAAAGTACTAAAATTTGTGTTTTCATTTTTTTTGAATTATATTATTTTTATTCGAACTTACAATTCTTCTTTAACTAACACATGGAAACAGAACCAAAGTACTGCAGCTCCAAGTCTCTGCAATGTCGATATAGAAAAAATTGCCCTACAAGTAACATTTTCAACATTGCTGCTTGATATAATCTTATTTGACACACACACACACACACACAAAAGTAAAGTAGAAATATGACAACAAAAACCAAAGTACAGATGACTGCTGTCACTCCCTCCTAGTGGCCTCAGACTGGGTTCTCAGCCCCTGACCTGGGTGTGGGTTCCCACAGGTTCCTCCTTGGTCCTGGGAGAAATTTCATTACACTTTCCCCCCAGGTGCTTCTTTGTAGGTTCAGCTATTCTCCCAACCCCTTACACTGGGGTGCCCATCGCTTCCCTTGTGCCACCTCTTACCTCCCACAGTCTGCTGCACAGCAGTCCTTTCCCTCTGGGGACTGAGGTTTCATGTGCCCTCAGTCCTCTTTCCCAGTGCCTGCTGGGGCTGTTTGCCTTGGGCCTTCTCTTCACCAGCTCTTGGCTGCCACCCAAGTCCTGGGTGTCCCATTCTTCTGGGGCCTGAGCTACCTCGCCAGATGGCCCTTCAGCCTCTCTCCAAGGCCTCGTGGCTGCTGTGCCTGCCACCAACACCTGCTCTCCCATTCCTGCCAATTTGTTGCCTGCTCAGGCCTCCTCTGTGTTCTGTGGCTACTGGCTTCCCCTGCCCAGTCCATCACCACCCTTTGAAGGACCCAGCAGCTGGACCAGGCCCCATCCTTCCATTGGCACACCACTTCTGGTTGAACTGTAAGAAGTGCCTTGCTGCTACTCAACCCCACACAGTAGTAGGGTTGCCAAGTGGAACTTACCTTGGCGGCGGGGGACTCCTGGGTGGATCCCGGAGCGCGCGCCGCACACACGTCACCAGGAAGTGACGTTATGATGCCGGGCGCGCTGGGA